CATACTGAAGTATATATATGTTTTATATACTTATTTAAAATAACTTTTTAATTTATAGTCTAAATTACTCTAGGATAAACTACTGAATTATGCTTGGAAATATCATGCCTGTGTCTACACACAGAATTTCCCTGTGTCTACACACATGCACATGCAGTTATATACATATATACACATAGCAACTAAATGTAAATGCGAATATTAAAATGTAAGGAGCCTGATTATAATAATGCCTATTTGGGGTTAATCAAGGACAGTTATTTTTCCTGTTCATGGAGATGGAGGTCTGAGATCAGCACCGACAGGGCTGGCCTCCCTGGCATCTCACAGTTCTTCCAGTGTGTGCCCATGCTTTCCCCTTCTGTTCTTACAGGGACAAAGGTCACATTCAGCTAGGGCCCAGCCACAGGGCCCTCGTTAATTATCTGACTGAAAGTCCTATGCGTAAATAATGCCTAACTTTTATTGAGCAACTATAGACAGGAAGTGCTTTGATGTAGCTTATACTGGACTGGAGAAATAGCTCGGTGGCTAAGGGCACTGACTGCTCTTTCAGAAGTCCTGAGTTCAATTCCCAGCACCCACATGGCAGCTCACACCCTTCTATAACTGTGGTCCCGTGGGATCCAGTGCCCTCTTCTGGTATGCTGACATACATGAGGACAAAGCACCCATATACATAAAATACATAATTACATCTTTTAAGAAAAGAAATGCATGCATATATTAATTAGCTTGTCCTCCACCAATCACAGAAGACAGGCTGTTTTCTTATCATCAATATCCCACACCCCAGATCTAGCCTGTCACCTGCCTGCACCACCACAAATCTTCTTCATAGTCTTCCCTTTCTTAGTCTCACCCAATAGCCCAGGCTGGCCCTGTAGCCCAGGCTGGCTCCTTCTGCATCCACCTCCTATAGGGTTGCAGACGTGCACCACCATGCCCAGCTTTTACTCTTCCCAATTCATGGAAGTTTCATCCTTCCCATTTTTTACATTAAAAATATCTCAAGGTCTTTCTAATTCTCCCCTTCCCCTGCCCAGGCTCCCAGCCACCCAGGGTAAATGGAATGAGCTGTGGTTCCCACTTCCAGACACCATAGATTTGTGTACTGAGTCCAGTCATTTCCTAGCAGCTGGCGGTTCTGAAAAGTGAGCACGCCGCAACAATCTTCTAGGAGGTAGAAAGAAAAACATCTTGATGACGGGCCATAAGAGTGCATTCTCCCTCCTACACTGAATTATTCCGAGCCCTCCTGGCCTCCACCCCTCAGCAGTCATTCTCATTTCGTACTGCCTGTCCTCTTCCGAACCCTCCAGCGAGCTCTCTGAGAAAAAGCCAGTCCCTCCCACAGCCTCTGGGTTCTGTCCCTGGTGCTGCTCCGGCCCCGTCCTCTGCCTGCCAAATTCTCTTCCTACAGCGCCCGCCAAGCAGCGCTGGGCTCTACCCCTTCTCTGTCTTGTCCCACTCTGCTTCTTGTCTGCGTTTAGGTCCTCGACCGTGTGCTATCTGCCGGACACGGCCTTTCCTGGAAACTGCACTGGAAAATCACAGCTCTGACCTATGGCGTTTGTGAGTTTTCGATCACAGCATATACCACTACTGAACTGTTTGTGAGTGAAGTGTGTGTGTCCCTGTGAGTGTGCAGGTGTACGTGTGTGCATGGGAGCCAGAGGTTGCTCCCAGTGCCTGATTCTTGGGATCCTCCATATTTTTTAGATCGGGTTTCTTGTAACAGGTCTTTCTCTGTCTCACCAGCCAGCTCCCAAATAATGACACAGAGACTTCTTATGAAAACTTGGTCTTAGTTTAGGCTTATTTCTAAGTAGTTGTTATAGCTTAAATTAACCCATTTATATTAATCTACATTTTGTTTTATGGCTTTTTACCTCTCCTCCTGCATGTCCTGTTTCCTCTCTGTGTCCTCTGGCATCTCTACCCCTCCTAGATTCATCTTGTCTTTTCTCTCTGCCCAGAAGTCCAGCCTAACCTCTTCCTGCCTAGCTATTGGCCATTCAGCTCTTTATTAGACCAAACAGAAGGTGACTTGGCAAAGACACATCTTCACCATGCACAAAAAGATTATTCCACAACAGTTTCTCGATGGGACCTGGGGCTCACTGAATAGGATAGGCTGCTAGTCAGCAAGCCAGTGATCTGATGTTTCTGCCTACCCAGCACTGGCTTTACAGGTGTTCCACACCATGCCTGCCCATGCACATGGAAACTGTGCCCTAACTCAGGACTCCATGCTTATGCAGCAATGGTTTTCCCACTGAGCCTTCTCAGCCACCATGAGGCAGTTTGCTGAATGTCACACAATGACAACAGACCCGTCGAGGATAGTGTTTAGTCTATTTGGTTCAGTATGGGGCATTAGCATTTGATCAGTCGATGACAGAAGAAATGCTCAATAAATATTTGTGAACAGCTTATACAGACTAGAAAATGGAGACCAAGAATAGTTTTTTTTGTTTTGTTTTGTTTTTTGTTCTTGTTTTGAGAAAGGTTTTCTCTGTGTAGCTCTGGCTATCCTGGAACTCGATCTTTATAGACCAGATTGGCCTCAAACTCAAAGATCCTCTTGCGTCTGCCTCCCAAGTGCTGGGATCAAGGATGTGCACCACCACTGCCCAGCTACAAATGTCACTTCTTGTGTGGAAGGCAGATGACTTAGTTAGGTTTTTATTACAGTGATAAGGATCATGACCAAAAGCAATTCAGGAAGGACTTGACTTCCAGAGCCTGATCACAGTCTGTCACTGAGGAAACACACGGTAGGACCTCCAGCAGGGTAGAGACCTGGAGGCAAGAACTTAAGCAACGGCTATTTAGAAATGCTGCTGACTGCCTTGCTCCCTGTGGCTTATTTAGCCTGCTTTCTCTTAGAACCCTGCCAATGGCGGCACTGCCCACAGAGAGCTGGGCCTTCACACATCTATCACTAATCAAGAAAATGCCCCGCCCCAGACTTGCCTGCAGTCCAATGCAATGAGGGCATTTCCTCACTTGAAGTACCTTCTTCCCAAATGACCCTGACTTGTGTCAAGTTGACAAGAAACTCACAGTAGCAGAAAGCTAAAGCAACTAGACACTTCACATGAATGAACTGAGAAGTGTGTGCCTTTGAAAACAAACACACACGAAAGCCCTAGCATTACTGTCCTGGTGTATTTGACTTCTTCTGCCCAATTTATTGTTCATTTGTTTACTAATGAATTTGCTCTTTCATTTGACATCTATTGGATGATTGCCCTGGCATGACCTACACCTAGCATAACCACTATAAAGATAAAGACGTATCCTGCACTGAGTTGGAGAGAGGCACCTGTTGTCTGGTGACAGAGACAGACAGATAAGAGAATTATTCCACTCTGTGAGTGTGAGGTTAGGGGATCAGAACTCTGCCTTCCAGGGCAGGAAACTCCTAACCAGCTCCTTCTTGGCACACAGGAGTCCTTCCGGGAGGAAACCACTCAGGTTGATGGGGAGGAGGGGGCTTCCACGCAGAGGAAGGGGTTTTCAAAGACAGGCAAGCAGGGAGGTGGGCACCCGGGCAGGCTGGGGGGGGCCTGGGGGGCAGGCAGACATGACTATGGCTATGGCTACGGGAGAACTGTCATCCTGGTATGACTGGACCTGGGAGCCTGTGAGGGGAGGACGCAGAAGGCCTTCAGATGAGGTCCTTAGATCCAGCCTGCATCTCACAGAACTCTCAGGAGACCAGACAGAAGGGGATGGAGCCAGAAGGAATAAGAACACTGAGGCCTGGCACTAGCAAGCTGCTGCTTAGATGCAGGTGTTTTCATGGGGGCATTTTGAGTTGGCCTAAAGGTGATTAAATTTTCAGCTTTCCCAAATTACCAAGTAATTATGCAAAACAGCTGTCTCACCTCAACCCAGATTCTCAGTCCCTGCCATCTCCTGCATCCAGGATGAAGCTCAGGGGAGGGGTGGATGTTGGGACCCGGGCTGGGGTCATGAGGAAGGTGAGAATTAGACATCTTTCCAACAAAACCACACATACCCAAAGACTGCTCACTGCAGGCTCCATTCTCATTAATATGCAACAAGTAACATTATTCTTTGAGTTCCCTTGTATTTTGAATGAGCTACACCTCCAAATCTCTGGTTCCTCCCTGGCTGTAATAACAGAGGTGCTAATTTATTGACAGATACTGTGTTCTAGTTGGTGTTTATCTCTTCCATTAAAACCATTTAGGAGCTGGGCAGTGGCAGCCCACGCCTTTAATCCCATGGATGCTAACCAGGACTACTGTGCTTAGCAAAACTATCTGCTGTAGCAGGAGGAGAAATAAAATTTGTTCCATGATATAAACAAGCTAAAACAATTCATGCCCACCACAGAGAATACTGGAAGCACTACTTTGGACTAAAGGGAAGAAAAGGCATGGCTAAAAGACTATAGAAAGAAAACAAATGAAGTCATAATCATTGAAACACAAAATAGTCTAAGAACACAAACGAGAAAAGAAAACAAAATTATGACAATCAACACAACCTTCTTTTTTTATTAATGGCTGTGTGGAAATCATGGGACTTACCCAGACCCCCTGAATGTGGGTGTCAGTGAGAAGGCCTAGGTAATCTATGGGGCCTTGGGTAGTATTTATCCCTGGCGTACAAATAGATTTTGAGTGCCCATCCCACTTGAGGGATGCTCTCTCAGCCTGGACTCTTGGGGGAGGGCCTAGGCCCTGCCCTGGATGAAATGACAGACTCTGAAGATCCACCATGGAGGGCCTCACCCTCCCTGGGCATCCAAGTGGAGATTGGGTGGGGGACTGGGGGGCCTGGTGGGTGGGGAGGAGGGGAGGGATAGGAAGCAGGGATTGACATGGGAAACAAGCTTGTTTCTAACTTCAATAAAAAAATCAACACAACCTTTCAATAAGTAACTGTAGACATTAATATCCTCAGCTCTCCAATCAAAAGACAGTGTAGTTGAATAAACCAATAAACAAAGTCCATCTTTCTATTGTCTGCTAGGAACTTTCTCACCTTCAAAGACAGGAGCCACTTAAAGTGAAAGGATGGGGAAAAGCATGCCATGCAGATGGGACTAGGAAGCAGCAGGTGTCACTATCCCAACATCTGACGTCACTAAAAATCAGAAGAGATAAAGACCAAAACTTCATTTTAATCAAGGGAACAATTAACCAAGAAGACATTACACCCTAAACATATGTGCATCTAACATGCTGAGGTTCCTGACTATACTTGATGCCATCTATCAGAACGTGCACAGCCTACCATACCCCAGCTTCTCTGTATGTGTTTCCGTGTGTCTATCCTCATCACCCCAGTTTTAATCCCCGAGGAAAATCATACTATTGAAGAAAATCACATGATCATCTCAATAGACCTTTGACAGAATTTAGTATGTCTTTATGATAAAGGTCCCAGAGAGACAAGAAATGGAAGGCACATACCTCAACATAATAGAAGGGTATCAATGGCAAACTCATGGCCAACATTATCCTAAATGAAGAACAACTCTAAGCAATCCCATTAAAATCAGGAACAAGATGAGGCTCCCCTCTATCCTCCCCACTCCTTTTCAACATAATTCTTGAATTACTAGCCAAAGCAATAAGACAAGAGAAGGAAGTTAGGGGGATAAAGAAATTAAATTATCCCTATTTGCAGGTAATGTTATACATAAAAGATTCCAAAACTTCCACCAGAAATCTTCTAGAAATATCAAGTTTGAGCAATGTGGCAACATAAAATGTCAACTTACAAAACACAGTAGCCTTTCGATACACCAATAACATGGAGAAAGAGATGACACACACCCATTCACAATAGTTTCAAAGCAAATAAAATATCTAGGAATAAACCTAACCAAGGAAGTAAAAGACCTTTAAATAAAAACTTTAAATCTCTGAACAAGGAGATTGAATAAGACACTAGAAAATGGAAAGACCTCCCATGATCATAAATTAATAGAATAATATCATGAAAACGACCATTCTACAAGAATCAATTTACATATTCAACAAAATTCCAATAAAAATCTCCACAGAATTAGGGGGAAAAGGTCCTAAAATTTATATGGAACCACAAAAGACCCCCCAAAGTAATCCTGGGGGCACATCAATGATGGAAATGGAAGGATTAGCATACCAGATTGCATGCTATATTACTGAACTATAGTAATAAAAAATGGCATGGCACTGCACACACACACACACACACAAAACAGATGTAGGTCATGGTTGGGAGATGGGAGAAGGAGCTCTAGAAAGGGAGGCAGTAGGAAAAAGGTGCTATGAAAGAGAAAATGGGAATAATGTCAGGAGGTGTTTAAGGAAGGGGAGAGGGGGGGCAGTACTAGAGGAGAGGGAAGGAGATGGATAAAGAAAATTAAGGATTATTGAGAAGTCATAAGGAAACATTATTTTATGTGTACTTGGTATATATTGCCAGTCTGCATGTCCTTGGGAATTAAAACTGGAGTGATGCGGATAGACACACAGAAGCACGTACAGAGAAGCTGGGGTGGTAGTTTGTGTGCGTTCTGATAGATGTCATCAACTACAGTCAGGAACCTCAGCATGCTTTTTTAATATGTCTGAATCAAGGAGGCGGGTTTACTGTCTACAGCTGAGTGAGGTGGAGGTTTCATGGCACACAGCTGAACAAGGGGGCGGGTTTATCTAATCTTTGCAGGAGCTCCACGTAGGGAGCAGACTGAGACTTGCAGTCACCGTGGAAGAGGAAGCTGTGGTTGAGTCTGCACATACACTGTCAACACACACATTCAGACGAGAGGGAGGTTCTGCATCTCTCTGAGCATCACCAAGGGAAGGATACACCACTCCCAGGGGTCTGAGGCCTTGGGATCCTTACATGTCTGTGATCATGTCAATACTTCATCTACTCCTTATACATTCATTCAAGGCTTTCTCTGCTCCCTGTAACATATATCATGTACGTATATGTGTATATACATAAAGTAAATTATGGCCCTTGGTATGCTAATGCTCCCCCAAGGCTACAGAAGACTTAACAAAAACCCCAATGCCAGGCATGGGAAATCTCCCTTCAAGTCATTGGTCAGTGGATTACAAGAGCAATACAGGCTGTTGATGTTGTTCTTGGTTGCCTAGAACTTGAAGGCAAATATCTATTGCTATTTTTGGATTTAGGACTTTGAGGAGTTGAACTGGAACTAATCTGGAAACTTCCTCCCTGAGGACTAGTTCTCATAGCATCCAAAAGTGTCCATGAAAGCTGCCGATGGGGAAAAGCAATTAAAAGTCTTACCTAGATATAAAACCTTTGAACCCACAACACTGACCATCACAGCAAAATATACCAACCATAATAGTGGCACATATATCTCAGAGATAACCAATAGCCACTTAATTGGACTTAAGGCCGTTTCAGTAGGAGGGAATTCATGCCTAGTACTGTAAACCTAACCAACTACTTGGACCCTAGAAGAGAACATGCTACTGTCGTGTTCCTAAACCAGTAAAATTCCCAAAAGCATTCTAAACACCTGCACTTACACCCACAGATAAGAATTCGTTTTCACCACTGCTTTTTGGAGCAGACAGAGACCATTCTAGAAATCCACAACTTGGAGCAGGAGAGATGGCTCAGCAGTTAAGAGCAGTGCTGCTCTTCCAGAGGTCCTGAGTTCAATTCCCAAAAATCTCCTGGTCACAACTACCTGTAATGAGATCTTGCGCCCTCTTCTGGCCTGCAGGCATATATGCAGCAAAACAGTGAAAGTGAAGCAGGTCTAACCTACAGGAAAACTACAGATACTTATGGGGCGAAGGAATTCATATGCCTGAGAGGAGGGGGACCTTGTAATAAATGTCCATTCTAGATATGGTAACCACATAGTTTGTTATTCAAACTAGCTAATACACACTCAAGACAAAAGGCACAGGTGTCCAAGTCACCAGGGAAAGGGAGCGGTTTCATGACCACAAAGCAATCCTTTATTTTTACTTCCAAGTGTGTGTGCGCGCACACACACACACACACAATGTAATGCTTCTCCCCTTTTTTCTCATGTAGCTCAAGTTTGTCTTGGGCTTGCCGTGTAGCAAGCCTGGCTTGTCTCGAATTCTTGATCTTCCTGTTTTTAACTCCTAAGCATTGAGACTATAAGAGTTCATCATCATAGCCAGCTACCTCAATTAAGTTTCTAATAGTTCTAATAGCTGCAGTTTTATAATATGTACACACTATATTCAGTAACGTGAAACTTGTTCACACTTTGATGGCTTTGCTATCCTTTATAGGCTAACCTTGGTTTATTAGAATTTTAAACACTTTTTCCCCAATCATAAAGGTCGCCTTTAAAAAGACCTCATTAAAAATAATACTGTGTGATACAGATACGACTAAAGAATAAAATGAAAGCCCATAATTGAAGCAGCAGGGAAAAACCAGTAAGGGCCATCGGTACTTTTCAGCAGTACCAAAACAGTGAGTTTACATTTTAACCAGGCTGCCATTTGCTTTTTGTTTTGTGTGAGACAGACTTTTAGATGTGACCCAGGTTAGCCCTGAGCTTTCAATCCTCCTGCCTCAGCATCTCCAGTGCTGAGGTTACAGGCAGGGGTCACCTTGCCCTTCAGCAGGCTGTTTTCATTCAGACTCAGAAAACTCTTAGGGAGTCAATACCAGAGTTCAGGGGTCAACTGTAGCAGCAGCCTTGGTGTTGGGATGGAGTATGCTGCACCCCGGGGTTTATCTAAGAGTTAGAACCAGGGCTTGGTGATGGGATCTGAAGCACAAAGCATCTCCAAGCTTCCAAGGTTGGGGGGCAGTCGGGAGTAAGAGCTATAGGAGGAAAGGGGTAACTGGAAGATGTGAGAGGAAAGTGGCCCAGCCTCACCTGGGTCTGGTTTAACTCACACCGTCATTCTGAGTGTGCTAGTCTTATGTCAGCTTGACACAAGCTACAGTCACCTGAGAGCAGGGACCCTCACCCGAGAAAATGCCTGTAAGATCAATCTGCAGGCAAGTCTATAGGGCACTTCCTTCCTTCCTTCCTTCCTTTCTTCCTTCCCTCCTTCCTTCTTTCCCTCCTTCCTTCCTCCCTCCCTCCCTCCTTCTTTCCTTCCTTCTTTCCCTTCCTTCCTCCCTCCCTCCCTCCTTCCTTCCTTCCCTCCTTCCTTCCTTTTTCCCTCCCTTCTTCCTTTCTTCCTTCCTTCCCTCCTTCCTTCCTTCTTCCCCTCATTCCTTCCTTCTTTCCCTCCTTCCTTCCTTCCTTCTTCCCTCCCTTTCTTCCTTCCCTCCTTCCTTCCTTCTTTCTCTCCATCTTTCCTTCATTCCTTCCTACCTTTCCTTCCCTTCTTTTTGTTTTTGTTTGCTGTTTGTTGGTTTTTCTTTTTAGTTTTTCAAGACAGGGTTTCTCTGTAGCTTTGGAGGCTGTCCTGGAACTCACTCTATAGCCCAGGCCGGCCTTGAACTCACAGAGATCCTCCTGCCTCTGCCTCCCTAGTACGCCACCACCATCTGTTCTTAATCAGTGATTGATGGAGGAGGACCCACCCCCATTATGGGTGGTGCCATCCCTGAGCTGATGGTCCTGGGTTCCATAAGAAAGCAGACTGAGCAAGTCATGTGAGCAGCAGCCTCCATGTCCTCTGCTTCGGCTCCTGCCTCCAGGCTCCTGCCATGTTGAGTTCCTGTCCTGACTTCCTTCAGTGATGAACAGTGATGTGGAAGTGTGAGCAAAATAAACCCGTTCCTCTCCATGTTGCTTCTGGTCATGGTGTTTCATCACAGCAGTAAAAGCCTTAACTAAGACACCTGGTAAAATATAACACTAAAAAGCGTCTTAAATTGGGAGGGGACAGGAAGCTGGGGTAAAGTGATGGGGAGGAGAGGAGGACATGAGGGAGCAGGAAAGTTGAGTTGGGGGAAGAATAGAGGAGAGCAGGATGAGAGATACCATAATAGAGGGAGTCATTATAGGTTTGAGGAGAGATCTGGCACTAGTGAGATTTCCAGAGATCTACAAGGATGACACCAACTAACAATCTAAGTAATAGTGGAGAGACCGCCTTAAATGTCCTTCCCTGATAATGAGATTGATGACTACCTTATATACCATCCTAGAGCCTTCACCAGTGGCTGATGGAAGCAGAGGAAGACATCCACAGCTAAACACTGAACTGAACTCCTGGAACCCAGTGGCAGAGAGGGAGGAGTGATGAGCAAAGGGGTCAAGACCAGACTGGTGAAACCCACAGAAACAGCTGACCTGAACTAGGGGGAGATCTTGGACCCCAGACTGATGGCTGAGAGGCCAGCATGGGACTTATCCAGACCCCCTGAATGGGGGTGTCAGTGAGGAGGCCTCAGCAAGCTTTGGGGCCTCAGTTACTACATCTTTATTTATCCCTGGCATCCGAATGGACTTTGGGAGCCCATTCCACATGGAGGGATGCTCTCTCAGCCTGGGCACATAGGGAAGGGGCTAGGCCCTGCCCCAATGATATGACAGACTTTGGAGGTACCCCCATGAAGGGCCTCACCCTCCCTGGAGAGTCAAGTGGGGATTGGATGGGAGGTTAGGGGGATTGGGAGGACGGGAGAGGAGTGGAGGGAGGACGGGAGAGGGAGCTGGGATTGACATGTGAAGCAAACTTGTTTCTAATTTAAATAAATAAAAAGAAGAAAAAATTTTTAAATTAAAAAATTTTTAATTTAAATGTTTATAGATAATTATGGAAACATTGTATCATCCCCTACCCACCTAGTTTACTCTCTGCCAAGAATCTGATGATGCCTAATGAAGCCTCCTTTTCTGGTCTTCCTGCCTAGAAATGATGACGACATTCCATTTCTACCTCGTGTCTTACCAAGAAGCCGTGTTTTAAATGACACCAGTAGGCCGTTTCTTCTGCAGAAATTAAGAAAAATGTTTGGCACAGGCGTGCTTATGACTTGAGAACCAGACAAGAGGGTGAGAATTCCTGGGGAAAAAAGCTGTGTCTGCAAAGATTCACTGATAGAACTTCGTGATGTGGAGAGGTTGGAATGTTGCAAATCCAGAAGCTGATGCCGTTAACCTGAGCGAGCTTCAGCCTCCTAAGCCGCCGTTCCTTGCCCATCCCTGTGTCAGAACTAGCATCCTGCGACTAATAGGTAAAACCCCTTTGGAAACTATTAACTAGGTAGAACACTAGACTCCACCAACCCAGAAGCTAAGAATGTCGTCAGATAGCATCCTAGACCTACAGAAAACTTCCCCCATTTCACTGCACCCGACTCTCTGATCTACCCACCAATGTGCTTTAAACTGGCCTTGATTTATAAAGCTATAAAACTTCATGAAACTGCTTCCATGTTGGAACATGGAATTTGGATTAACATAAATCTACGTTCCCAGGCCACAGTCACTTAAGGTGGCTCTAGAATAAACTGTATTTTGTTCCCTTTTAGATGTGGTTTTGTGTCAACAGGGCACGTATGCTCATTTATAGACACTTTAAGTTCTAATTCTATAGAAATAAGAGTCTAAAGTGATTCTTAAGTGAGTCCACAGCAAGTCTGAAAGGAATCCAGAAAGGATAAAGGGATATACAGAGGTTTTCTGTGTATACCTTTGAGAATTGAAGGAAAAGCCACACCCAGACTAAAGGTCCCACAAGGCTAGGGATTACACCGGCGCATCTGCAGGGAGCTGGAATGCTGACAATCCAGAACCAAATTAGCTATCATTAGTCCTTTGAGACCCCATCCGACCTAGCATTGTTTCAACAAATAGGTAAAGCATTGGAATATATCAACAGAACTCCAGCCTCCACCAACTCAAGAGCTCAGAATGTCGTCAGGTAACAACTAAACCCGTAGCTGAGTCTCCCTCCTTCCTGTGTATATCCAACCCACCTGATGTTTCCATGAATGTATCTGGTGAGGTCCTTGACATATGGCCTTGTTTTGTTCTGTGACAAGAAAAGCTCCTGTGATGCTGCCACAGGTGACATAGGCTGTAATCCGGTGCACCCGTGTTCCCAGTCTATGGTCACATGTTTGGCTCAGAGTAAAGTTTCTCTTACTCCCTTTGAAGTGAGCACTGTATGTTGCATGACTCCCATTCTTTAGGCACCAGCTATTCTTTTCTGTGAATTTTGCTTCCAACATGTGCACACAGAGCTCTTGACCAGTTTTCTGTGGATGGCTACTTTTTCTAAGTTCCAGGGTTAGGACAATTTATAGTGGAAGGATTTTAAGCCCCGATCAGCTGATTTGGTTTGATTTTCTCTGGTTAGGGAGCTTGTCTTGTGTCTTCAAGCTGGGATCTCCAGTAATCCCTCCACTGCTTCCTGTCGCTGCCCAATGCTGATGGTTCCTGCGAGGGAGGGGCAGGCCCTGTGTGTTCTATAGCATGAGAACTCAGCCGCATTTGTTCTGTAGGGAGGAGTCTAAGGCACACATTGCTAATGGTTTGTTTATTCTGCTTTAACCATCAATCTGGATGTCGTCCAGACAATCGGCTCAGTGGGAATGCTAGGCTCAGTGGACTTGGTGTTTGTGAACCTTCCTGCTGCTGCAGAGAGGAGACGGATGAGGAGAAAAGACTGGTCACCTGACCACAGGGACAATACTGAAGTTGGGGATGATTGATTGACTGCCTTTGTTTCCCCACTTTGTAATTGCAGCCTAACGATGAGAGGCAGACACATCTGTAGGATGCTGGACTACTATCTTCTCAGACTGCTGGGTCTCTGAACAAAACAGCTAAAGGATTCAGGTCCTGAATCCTGTCTATGTGACCTGTAGCTGGGCCACTTACAATGAGTCAGCACTGGCCCTCTGGCACCCAGAGAAAAGAAAAGCCCGTGGTCTACTGTGGTTCCCTGGGGCAGTAATGTGGCCCACCTTGGGGAACAGTCACTTGATGGACAATCCCATCAGGAAGACGTGTGGATGATTTTTGAGGGTCACTGAGTTCATTGCACACGTGGTCATTTAAATTTGAATTGTAATTCTATGAGTACAAATATTGCCACCTCGTCCCAGACGAGAAAACTGAGACTATGAAGAAACGTTAGAGCTCACTCACCCAAGATCCCACAATTGGAGCTAATTTACAATCCACTGTGTCTTATTTCAAAACCCAAGCTGTCACCCCAGCTCTCAAACATTCCATCCTGAAAGGGAATTTGGGCATTAAAGCATAGTTCACTCTTACTGTGTTGTAACAAAATGTCTCTCAGTGTTTTCCTGAAGCATTTTATGGAAATGAGGACATTGCAGTTTATAACTAGAGACACCCCAGGTCACAAATCTCACATTTTCCAGGCTCCTAAATCATAGTATCAGGCAGAGATTTCGGGAAACTGATCCGGCAGAGAGTAAAAAGACGTTACAGGTGATGAACCGAGTTAATGATGCACACTAACCGACATCTTAAAGCCACCACGGGAACACAAAATCGAAGCCTGCTTCATGGAATCCAGGCTCTCGTTGCCAAATTTCCACAGCATCTCCCGTTAAAAATCTCGTGTTTGGTTCACATGAGCTAACTGAGAACATTTCTGTGCTATCGACATTTTCTGACTGCTGCTGTGTAAAATCCCCTTCCAATAGGTAGATCAGAGCTCCCTAATGGATTCGGGCCAATTTAGCTTGAATTCAATTCACATCTGCAAGCGAAGGGGTGACCTTCAAAAGTCACAGGTAAAGCAGCTGTCCTGTGCAGCCCCTCCCTTCCCTGCTTACCCCAGGCCTGCTGCTGAACACAAGTAGAAAGATGTCCACTGCTTTGCTCTGGGATGTTTGTGGGCTTGGCTCCCCTCACAGAGCACCACAAAGGGCAGGCCAGACCAGATCTCAAGTTCAGCCAAAAGTTGGCAAGCAGCTGCACTTCAGAGGTCTCTTTTAACTGTTTTTCTATTGCTGGCCGTGTGCTCTTGTGGCAAGAGCATGACACCCCGAGCCAGAACCTTTAGTGTCTTTTCCTGTGTTGCTCAGGGCAGGGCGCTCCCATGTCTGAACCCGCTTCCTCACTCCAGGTTACAGATAGCATCTTCCCTCTGGGATAAAACAAATGAGTCGATGACGTATCTGAAAATACATCGCAAAACTATAAACATCATGGCCATTTAGTCACGATTATTTCAGTTTTACAGCCCAGGAGGCTCAAAACTCATACAGATTGAAGTCATATGTCCAACAAGATACAGAGCAAGGGGCTAGAGCAAAGAAAGGCCTGGATTAGTTTCCAGCACCCTGTGGAGTAGCTCCAACAGCCTGTAACTCTAGCTCCAGGGGATCTGACACTGCCTTCTAGCCCCAAGGGCATGTGAGCATCCGCAAACCTGTTTATCTACCCACACACACAGGCATATACACACATATACGCAATTAAAAAGAAATCCTGCGCATGTGTGCTTGTTTGAACTGGGCCTAACTCCAGAATTTTCTTTTAACATATCTCCTTCAGGTTTACTATGAATATAGTTTTATTTTCACAATGTGTACTAGAAATTTAGACCCATTCGCAAAAGCCCCACCAAGCATCCCAGATGACTGCAGCCCAGCTTGTCTTAGTGCATCGCACGGGAAGAGCCAGCACTCAGTCTCAGAGCCAGGTACAAGAATGTTTAAATGCCGGTCACCGCGGTGTCAAGTGCTATTATTCAGTGGCTATTTTTACACTAAACAACTCAGAGTTCAGAAAACATCCTGTGTGTGCTCTCTGTCTATTGAACCTCGGTGCCCTGTGAATCATGGTCATGTAACATTATATTATCGCAAGTGGCTTTCCACGGTGCTTTTACCAACATGACACTGCAGAAGGCAGCAATTTGCTGCTCCTATCCAAGGACAGGATGCTAGTGGACTGCTGGACCAAGGTACTAATTAAAAAACAATACTTGCCCACAAAAAAGTAAAAGTATGCTGGAAGGAAGAAAATAATGGGCTATTTTCCTGCTTTCTTGACTGAGGAATCTGATCTGAAAGTTCGTATACATCTTGAATTTGAGTGATCAGTTTGTCTGCAAGAGGCAAACATTTCTTTGCTGATTTACAGTTTCCTGTTCAGTATTTTTTCTAGCAGCTGGCTATAGAAACTCTATTCATTAGGCAACTCTAACCATTCTTTAGCTGCAACAATATGGAAGGTTCTATTAGACTATAAATAACAGCAGGCAGCCAAGCAAACCGACTTCTGCCCATGCAGCTTCTGCCCTGTAAAGATCTACAGTAGTGCGAATTATCATTCCTGGGCAGGTGTCTAAAGGTGGCTCCTGTAGCTCTCCGCTGGGCAAAGGAGAGTAACCTGCATCTCCTGGAAAGAGGTGGAAAGATTAACACACACACACACACACACACACACACACACACACACACAGCTAAAAGGAAAGAATGGGCCACTGTTATCTGGTGTGTCTTTTTTCGATGCAGAAACAAAGCAAGAAGAACCAGGCCTCAGAGACATAGCAAGGCCTGATCTCTGGGTGTGTCTGTGAGAGTATTTCCAGAAATGATTAACTAAGGTGGGAAGACCAACCCCAAACGTGGGTGGAGCCAATCTACAGAAAAGGGGAAGAGGGAGAAAGCGGCAGAACCCCTTGCTCTCTGCTTCCTGATCTGTGGAAGGGGCCCAGGCATGCCTTCCCAGCTGTGTCCCACTGGACCCTGTTAAAAACTCTGAGCTCAGTCAAATCCTGCTTCCCTCAAGGAGAGACAGAAACAGAGACAGAAAGACAGAGACAGAAGAACAGAGAGAGACAAAGAGAGAGAGAGCACGATCATTTGACCCAACAGTCAGACTTCTGGGTACATATCCAAAAGAAATAGTTTGTCAAGGATCATCTGCACCCCATGTTTATTCACTGTAGCATTAATCAAAACCACCAAGATATGGGTTCAACCTAAATGTCCATCAGTGGATAGATAAGTTAATAAAATGAGCTGTCATTTAACCTTGGAAAAGGAAATCCTGCCATTTACAACACAGAATATCCTGGAGAACATGGAGTTAAGTGAAGTAAGTCAGGCACAGGAATCAGGATCATAGGATCTTACTTCTCCAGTGAAAATCAACTCACTTGCTAGGGCTGAAGGGGAAAGTGGAAAGCAGGAAATTGTTAGCCAAAGGGACACAACTTCAGTCAGCCAAGAATAGACTCTAGAAGTGCGCTGCACAACATGATGACTAGAGTAATATCATATGATTGACAGCTGCTAAGACAGACCTTAAACGTTTTCACCACACAATTAGAACTTGATAAATGTTAGGCAGAGGCAGGTGGATCTCTTCAAGTTTGAGGCCAGCCTCGTCTAAGAGTGAGTTCCAGGATAGCAGGGCTACACATAGAAATCCTGCCTTGAAAAATCAAACCAAACCAAAAGAGCAACAACAAAAGAACATAATAAATGTAAGAAAATTTATTCTATAATTTTGAGTCATGCTGGTGATTATTTTTTTCATATTTCAATTTTCCCTTTGCCATTGTGTTTATTTTCTGGTAGTGAGTTTCTTACCCTCAAGATGTATTTTTCCATACATGTTGCAAAGATTTTTCCTAGTATGTAATTTTTCTTTTATTTTATATATTTATATTTTCAATCTACACACACACACACACACATTGTTATGGTATTTCTTGACCCAGGATCTGTACATGCTAGACATATATACTCCTCCACTGGACTATACCTTTGCCAACCAGAGTTTTTAACATTTACCCTCCAAGTCTCATTAGCCCTTTCTTCACTTTCTCTCTTCTCTAGAAGTGGTCTTTCCCTCTCTAAACACTGAAACACACTAGTTACTAACCTGTTCTTTTGTTTTCATTTCATCTACTTGATATATTTGGAATCTCTTTTACTTTATATATTAAAGTAAGGAAGGATCTAACTTCATTCTTTTTCAAAACAGCCAATCAATTTCCCCAGGATTCTTTATTGAACAATTGACTATAAATACTTAGGAATGCTGTAATTACTTAGGGATCGGTGACTCTCTTCCTGAAGGGTCTTTTTTCTTTTTCAGTGCAGAGACAAACCAGGAAAGACCAGGACTAGGCCTCAGAGGCACTGCATGATCTGAAGTCATTGTCACACTGAGCCTACAGAGCTTGATGATGCTCTAGAATCAGAGGGATGGAACCTAAAAATGTAAATCATTTTCAAGTGTGCACAAGACTCTAAGGGATATTTTCTTCTCAATTTTCCTTTGATGGGGCTGCTTTTAAAATCGGAGCAAAGAGTGATGATTATACATAAATTATACATACACTTAAAAATCCCTTTTCTTTACTAGTCCACACTAGTTTTCCTCATAAATAATGTATTAGGAAGAAAGATTTTCCTAGGACAATCATTTGTCCTTAGTTACAAAGGCACAGCAGAGTAAATGTTCAATTTAGACTAATAGAACCAGAACCAGGAATCCCCCCCCCTTGGCATAAAAATAGAAGGTAGATGTCCCCTCCTCCTTCAGTTATGACCAGGACAGAACTAGCTAATCATGAAAAGTTTTGTTTAATGACCCTGAGAAAAGATTCTAGATCTTCTCCTTGTAACTTGTTCCAAACCGTAATGACCTCCATTAAAATAAAAATCCACCGTGCAGCAATTGAAGTAGCTCTTCTCTTTAAACCAAACTGTTTCATTACTTGGTGGTGACTGTCTTCTGGCTTTTGTCTTTTGGATTTGTCTCCAGACTAAATAATCCCAACCCTCTAGGATCAGTGGTTCTCAACCTTCCTAATGTTGCGACCCTTTAGTACAGTTCCTCATGCTGTGGTTTCCCATAACCATGCATTTTTCATTGCTGCTTCCTAACTGTAATTTTGCTACGGTTATGATCATAATGTAAATATTTTTGGAGCTAGAGGTTTGTCAAAGGGGTCACAGGTTGAGAAACACTGCTTCCTAACTGTAATTTTGCTACGGTTATGATCATAATGTAAATATTTTTGGAGCTAGAGGTTTGTCAAAGGGGTCACAGGTTGAGAAACACTGCTCTATGCTCACCTTATGCTCACAAACTTGAGAGCATCGGCAAACGCCAATTGAGGACCAGGGAAAACACACGTAAATGCATGTTTAAGGCTGACCACAAATTCTCCATTTCAACTCTGAACTCTGTCTCTTACCCTGCTTCTTAAAAGGTGAACTATGAGGAACCAATTTGCTTTTTATTTGAGTAAAATCTCAGAGGAAAGCCCAACATGGGCTCTTCCCTCTGCAGGGGCAGAGACTGAGAGACTGGCTAAGGGGAGGCTCAGATGTGAGCTTCCGCCCCCGGTGCCCCTTGTGCAGACACTGAGGACACTCTGTGTGAGCATTGTGCAAAGGCCTTATCCTTTCCTGGGGAGGGGGCTAACAGATGACAGTCCCTGTGAATGCCTACGATAAAGGGAGAGCTCCAGTTGTAGAGCTAGGTCCTTGAACAGTACAATGACAAATGACCCAAGACAGAGCTCATAACTTCTGAACCAGTTTGTGCTAAAGACCCACAAGGATGTAGTTTTTCACCTGAATTCTGGGTCAAGGGATCGCAACCAAATAACTGGTCTTAGCCTATTCAGGCTGCTGTGTCAAAAGTATCTTAGACGATTTGTCAGTGTTTTGTTGCTATGAAGAGACACCGTGGCCACAGCAACTCTTATAAAGGAAAGGATTTAATTGGGGCTGGCTTACGGTTTCAGAGGATCAGTCCATTATCAGCATCGTGGGGACGTGGTGACAGGAAGCAGACATGGCGATAGAGAAGGAGCTGGGTGTTCTACATCTGTGCCCTCACTCAGGCAGCAGAAAGAAAAAGGCACTGGGCCTGGCCTGCCCTTTTGAAATGTCAAAGCCCACACCCAGTGACACTTCCTGCAACAAGGCCACACCTCCTAATCCTTTCAAGTAGTGCCACTTCCTGGTGACCAAGCATTCAAATCCAAGAGCCTTCAGGAGTTGTTCTCTTTCAAACCGCCACAACTATTGATTTATAATTAAAACGTATTGTTCACAGTTCTGAGGGCTGGAAGGTCTAAGGTCAAGGCGCCCCCAGATTCTGTGACAAAGCACGTTCACAAGACTGGGGGGACAGAAAAGCCACTGCCCAATTCTTCTTTAAGGGTGACTAATCACCTATAGGGATTCTGCCTTTGTGATCTAATCAAATCCGAGAGGCCCCACGCCTAACTCCGTTGCCTTGGCAACCGTATTTCAACCCTGGAACTGCGAGGATAGATGAGTGTGTCACAGGAACTGGACACACAGTGTCTCGCTCCTGGTCCAGACTTCTCTCTTTCTCACACCCCTTTCTCCTCCCACCATTCCTCATCCCTGCTGGTCAGGGCCTCGGGTGTGAGGCCCCACCCGGGACAGGGTGTGGAGCCAAGTCTCAGCTGAGTCTTCCTCAGAATGAGATGCTAAGGGTGGGACAGGACAGGAAGTGCAGCCTCCACCGCTGTGAGACTTGGCTAGATTCCTGCTTCCTCTTTTTTCCTAATGCATGCATCACTTTTACCGTCTTTGCACCCATGGCCCGCTCTCAGCAGATGGCACATGCCAATCACGCTGCAGGGTGCGGTGTGGAGGCTGAGACAGAAGCATCACAATGAGTTCAAGAGCCGTCTGGGCTGTAAATGACACGGCCTTATCTCAAAACAAAACCCACCTTTAGAAGAGTAACCTTTCTCCAGCTTGAACCAGTCAAATCTCCACAACGGCAAACTCCGAGTGATTGGGTTTTTGGCCAAGTGTGGGAACTCCGTGGCAAGCTAGCATCTTGGTTTTCCAAAAAGAAGAGGAAATGCTCTCTTAATTCAACTCAGTGTTTGAAGGACATGCTGATAAATGGGAAGCAGGAAGATACGGGCTGCGGGGAATGGGGTGATGGGGAGCACAGGGAAGCTGGAGAATGGGGAGGGTGGAGGGTGGGGAGGGAGAGGATGGGGAGGGGAGAGGATGAGGAGGGTGGAGGGTGGGGAGGGGAGAGGATGGGGAGGGGAGAGGGTGGGGAGGGGAGAGGATAGGAAAAGATGGAACATGTGGATGGCAGGGCTCGGTGTCTTCTCTGTTAAGCCATTGATTCTGCTCTGAGGTCGCCAAAGAAAACAAATGTTTAGTGACTGCATTGGTACTCATCTGCTTTAGCCTGTCGAAGGCTCTCAGCCCCAGCCCAAACAGCTGTATTTACTCCCTGACCCCTATACCTTATCTGGGGACCCAATACAGTAGTGGACATGGAGAAGAGTTTACTGAGTGTAATCGTCACCTGCTGTGATATTTTAGAAGTTTTCTAACACACACATTCATATGCAACCACACACACACACACACACACACACACACACACACTGGCCTGTGATGGGAACCCTTGCAAACTGTGTCACTGATCTGTCTAACCTGGTTGTCCACTGGCTGCCCGACTCTTTCTGGAGTGTTAGCTCGGTGCAAGCAACACCAAACTGAAGCAGTTTACAGAACACACCATAACAGGTTCTGCTCTCAGATTACACACGCAGGCAGGAAGTGTTTTCCAGCAGGTGGCAGAGGCTCCGTGGGATTGTTTTGTTTAGGAAACAGCCTCTCACATCAGCAAGCTGGAGGCTCCAAAAAGCCTTTATTGTTTTAACTTGGGCACTTGGTGTTTGGCCAGCTGCTCTGACATTTCATGGCGAGAGTGACTCAGTGGGGAAGCAAAAGGCAGCTGAAGCCAAGCTAGAGAACTTTCTGGAAAAGCTATGCACCCTCTGGAGTGAACTAATGATATAGGCTTTTCCCTCTGCCTAAAGCTCTGAGCCCCCTTGAGAGTAGTGTGTGTGTGTGTGTGTGTGTGTGTCAGGCATCGTCGTGCATGCTTTTTTTTTTTTTTTTTTTTTTTTTTTTGGTTTTTCGAGACAGGGTTTTTCTGTATTGCTTTGGAGCCTGTTCTGGAACTAGCTCTTGTAGAGCAGGCTGGTCTCGAACTCACAGAGATCCACCTGCCTCTGCCTCCCGAGTGCTGAGATTAAAGGCTTGGGTAACCAACGCCTGGCGTGCATGCTTTTAATCCCCGCTCTTGGAAGGCAGAGGCAGGTAGATCTCTGAGTCTGAGGCCAGCCTTCTCTACAGAGTGAGTTCCAGGACAGCCAGGGCTACACAGAGAAACCCTGTCTAGGAAAAAAAAAAATCATTCCCTGCTGCACTAATTCAGATCTAGGTTAGGGCCGGGCAACTGTCTCTGGAGGGTCTTGCCTGAGCAGGCTCTCTGATAGGCTGACACTTCATGCTTATTCCTGCTGTGGTCAGTAACTTTGAAATAAAACATATAGCCAGGGAAAGGTCCCACCTCCTGAGCAGGGGAGCCTCGCCCCTCCTGACTGTGAATGCCTCTCAGCTCAAAGCAAGATTAGGAGAATCCAGTGTTGGCAACAGATAAAGGATCCGTGGAAGCAAGGCAGCAAAGGCCCCCGGAAATTTACATAAGCCTGGAGATGCAGCGGCTCAGAGTGGCAGAAGGGGCCCTGAGAGAAAGCAGAGCAGAAGAAAACATCTGGAATGGGTGGTGAGGGGAGGGCCGAGGAGCTGCAGAGGGCTAGAGCAGCCGCCTCTCCACCTACAGGACAATCGCACAGCTGCCAAAGCAAACCCTTGCGCAGCTGGCATTTCTTGTATTGTCATCCTTCCCTCCCAAGGCTGCGGAGCCTTTGAAGTTAGCCTCGGTGAGAAAAACTGGGAGGATGTGCACCCAAGATGCCCTTTGAAAAAGCCTTCAAGGGAGCAGCTAGGCTCCCTCCCAAGAAAGCAGTTGCAAGGTGGTGTGCATGTGAGGGGGGCACAGCCCAGACAGGCTGGCTTAACACTATCTAGATCTAGCTTTCTTTTTTTTTCAATTTTAGAAATAATCTTATTTTACATATCATTCCCCCCATTCCCTTGGCCTCCCATGCTCCCCACCACCGCCCCAACCCATCCCCCACCCACTCCCCCAAGGATAGTGAGGCCTTCCATGGGGGATCATCGAAGTCTGTCACATCATTAGAGCGAGCTTTCTTAAAGTGACAAGGCAAGGCGGACAGCCAGCCTCATGGGCCTCATCCAGTTGGAAACATACATCCCATTTCCCTCCTGCAGCAGTCGAGAGGGGGGAACACAGAGAGAGAGAGGGAGAGAGAGAGAGAGAGAGAGAGAGAGAGAGAGAGAGAGAGAGAGAGAGAGAGAGAGAAAGAGAGAAAGAGCCGGAGACTGCTCCCAGCTTCTGAGGACTTCCCAGTGGCCTAGAAGGGATCCAGGGTATTTTACATGTATAGAGAAAGGGAGAGAGAGAGAGAGAGAGAGAGAGAGAGAGAGAGAGAGAGAGAGAGAGAGAGAGAGATCCAGTCAATATGGGAGCTCATGAAGCCCATAGCTGCAGTTGGGGGCTGAGCCAGAATGGGGAGCCTCTGAAGGTCACCCCACTTCCAACAGGAGCGAGTATCTGGATTTTTGTGTTCCAGGAATGAGGCTGGAGGGGGGAGCAGTCTGTGAGCCCACTGTCTTCCCTTCATGAGTTCACCAAGGACTTTGAGAATGTTTCCCACAGGCACCAGAAAGGGGAAGATTAGGAACTCTGAGGAAGAGGGGATGTCCCAACAGAACTACATTTCAGCTTAAGAAGTACCGAGAGATCACTGGCTTCCACCCAGGCCATCCAGAATGCAGCACTGAGAGTTGCACAGTCCCAGACTAAGGCTGTTCAGAGCCCCAGGGCGAGCGGAGGAGGCACTTACTCAGGAGAAAAAGACAAATTCACTTGTCAGGGTCACCCAATTAGACAGGCCTAATGAAATAGATTCTTGCATAATGAAGAAGCATTAAGAGGTGGTGGCCGTGGCCATCTTTGTCGTTTTCTTCTGATTCCTGTTCAACCATGCAGAGGTGTTCACAGACTAGCACAATGCTCCCAATGGCATCAAGGGTCATGTTGGAATAGTCAATGAGTTACAGTACCCTTAAGTGTGTAGTATGTTGTTTTAAACCAGTGGTTCCAGGGGCGCAAGAGTCTCTCAGGGTTTTTTTCTTAATGATATTAAACATGTTTTGCCTTTTTAATTCTCATGTTTTCACGTTGGAGTTCTCCAAAAGGCTGCAAGACACTTCATGCCATCATGGCTCTGAGAGCTGATGGGAGTTATGCTTATGTGTTTTGTTGTTGTTTGCTTTAAAAACACGCCAATGGCCGGGCGGTGGTGGCACACACCTTTAATCCCAGCACTTGGGAGGCAGAGACAGGCGGATCTCTGAGTTCGAGGCCGGGCTGGACCGACAGCCTCCAAAACAATACAGAGAAACCCTGTCTTGTAAAAACAAAAACAACAACAACAACAAACAACACGCCAATGGGGGCTGGAGAGACAGCCCAGCAGTTAAGAACACACTGCTCTTGCAGACGACTCAAGTTCAATTTCCAGTGCCCACATCAGGCATCTCACAACAGGATGCAACTGTAATTCCTGGGGATATGTCTCCCTCTGCTGACCTCTGTAGGCACTGCATACACATACACACACCTGTACACAGACACCCATGTGCACACAATTTTAAAAATTTAAAAGTTGTTCCAGTATTAGTTACAATACACAAGTATTGAGAGACTTTCTCCACAAGAGCAAAGGCCTTTGGAGTCCTCAATAACTTAATAACTTAAAGGAGTCTTAAAGCCAAAAAATGTGAGCACTCAGGCCCAGGTGACACTGTGAATTCTTTGCATTAGCAACTCAGTAATAGACTTAGCATTGGAGCAGCAAAGGGTTTTATTTTTAAGAAAATATTTAATGTAATTGGGTCAAGTTTACTCAAGAAATCAAAAGTCAGTCATATTTAAATCTGATTTTGAAAGTTATCATGCATTGTAATTTATATATGCAAGTATCTAAGAAGGAAACATCCTTTTAACATAAAATAACTGAATTTTTAGATATTCAGTAGCATACTCTTAAAATTAAAATGTGCAATTTGTGTATGTTTTGAATAAAATATTTAAATTTAACTCAAGTATTTACTAGCAGTTAACCGTAAATCAGGCAAAAGAAAAAAAATCCTCATAAGATGAGGAATTACTGTCTACAGAAATAAGCATGAAATGAGGAAACAATGTATGAAATAGATAATTGTTTACTAATTACGTATTTTTACTTCATTGCTCTTTTTCTTGATTTTACTTTATATGTATGAGTGTTTTGCCTACACATATGTATATACAACATGTGCATGGCCTGGTGCCCATGGAATCCCAAGGAGGGCATGGGATCCCCTAGACTGGAGCTCAGATGGCTGAGAGCCACCATGTGGAGATGGGAACTGAACCCAGGTCCTCTGAAGAGCAGCTGGTGCTGTCAGCGGCTGAGACATTTCTCCAGCGCCATTTTGTTACTCTTATAAAAATGACCAGCCCACCATCAGAATAGCTATAAATGTGCAGTAACAAATCCAGTCATTTTTTAAACTTTTACATACATATAAAAGCCGCAGCTCAACACCAAGTTTTGATCTCCCCAGCATAAAGGTGGGCTTCACATATGATGACCCTGCGGAGAGTAACCATACATCCCATCCAACCCTCGAGATGAGAGCTTCATAGTATGAGCTTCCCCGGGCCCTGAAGTTAGGGGGCCTCGTACACATTCAGCTTCTCACCCAATAACCTTCTGAGACAGTCTTCATATTTCCACACTGCAGGTGCATTCGCTGATCCATAGGGAGAGGATCAGTTTTACCCAGACTCGTCCATTCATCCCCTTATGCTGGGCTCGGGTTCTGTCACGGACTGAGCTGCATCAAACCCCGCAAAGTCTAATAGACACGAAGTAAACAAGTGTAGGATCTGAAATATCACAAAGGGTGAAGGCACAGAAGATTGAGGTTCGTTTAGCATTGGGTTTTTCTGAGTATAAACTAAATATAGTTAACATATGGAACTTTTAATTTTATGTTTTTCCTGTGTATAACTGTTTTTTGCCTTCAAGCACTAGGTGCAAGCCTGGTCCCCACAGAGGCTAGAAAGGGGTTCTGGCTCCTCTGGACCTGGCATTATAGACAGTTATTAAGTCACTGTGTGGATGCTGGGAATTGAACCTGGGAGAGCACCCAGTGTTCTTTCTCACTGAACCATCTCTAGCCCTTATATCGAGCCCTTATAAATCATTTTTTTAGAACCAAATAATGAGGGCTGGAGAGATGGCTCAGAGGTTAAGAGCACTGGCTGCGGGACTGATCAAGACCCCCGAATGTGAGTGTCAGTGAGGAGGCCTAGGTAATCTATTGAGCCTTGGGCAGCAGATCAGTACCCATCCCGAGTATACACGCGGACTTTGGACTCCCATCCAACAATGTGAGGTGCACTCTCACCCTGAACTCTTGGGGGAGGGTCTAGGCCATGCCCTATATGAAATGACAGACTATGGACACCCCCATGGAGGGCCTCACCCTCCCTGGGGAAATGAGGGGATAATGGGGGGGGGGTTGAGGGGAGGGCACGGGAGGAGGGGAGGGAAAGGGAGAGGGCCCTGGAACTGACTTGTGAAGCAACCTTGTTTCTTATCTAAATTTAAACTGAAAAAAAAAAGAGCACTGGCTGCTCTTCCAGAGGTTCTGAGTTCAATTCCCAGCAACCACATGATGGTTCACAACCATCCATAATGAGATCTGGTGCCCTCTTTTGGCCCACAGGAATACATGCAGACAGAACAATGTATATATAATATAAATAAATAAATCTTTTTTAAAAAAGAACCAAATAATGAACTTACAAAGAAATAAAACACCTCTAAATCATCTGCAGCCCACTATTCAGAATAAGATGCCTTAAAATGTACAAGAGGATATTTCTTTCCAGTTTGTTTGTTTTGTTTGTAAATGCACACATGCCCATGCCCAATTACACACACTTGTAAAAACTTGATGGTAACATAGATCCTGTTGTAGTCTGTCATTCTGTGACCACCTTCCCACTTGAAGTAAATTGGAGATAACTGTCTGAAATAATGAAACAGCATTCCAATTCCATGGATGTCCCCTCTTATTGAGCCTCTCCTCTGTGATGAATATTAGACAGTTATTCTTTACATTTTCAAAATCTTGGTGTACTTATTTCGTTATTTTCTTGGGGGAAAATGATGATACAAAGTTTTGGGGTCATTTAAAGTCTTCTGGTGTCTTTGCCAAACTCCCTTAACAGCGGTTGTCTGGCTTCGAGTGGTCCTGGTTATACACATTTCGGAAGCCCTCTGCCTGTGCGGCATGTTATCACTCTTGCCTTCTTTTCATCTTCGCCAGTCTCGCTGGCCACTGTGATAGCTCATAACTATTTAATTTGTATTTCTCTGATTGCCAGTGAAATAAAATATATTTCATTATGCCTGCTGGCCACTTTCATTTTTTTAATGAACTGCATATTTTTATAGCCAGCACCTTTGCCTGTTTTCAAATCAAGATGAGTGTCATATTTTTAAAGATGATTTTCAAGAGTTTCTTTAACCTACTTTAAAGCCTTCGAGTTACTTTCAAAAGTACATATTTTCTTCCATACTAAGAAGTCTATGTATGTGTGGTGATAGATGTGTGTGTGAGTGTGAGTGGTATGTGTGTGTGATGTATGGTGTGTATGTGAAGTATTATGTGTGTGAGTGTGAGTGGGGGTGTGTGTGTGTGATGTATGGTGTGAGTGATGTGTGTGTGTGAAGTATAGTGTGTGTGTGTGTGAGTGGTGTGTGTGTGTGAAGTGTGGTGTGTGTGTGTATGTGTATGTATTGTGTGAGTAGTATGTGTGTGTGATGTATGGTGTGAGTGGTGTATGTGTGTGTGTGTGAAGTACATTGTGTGTGTGTATGTGTATGTATTATGTGAGTGGTGTGTGTGTGTGTGTGTGTGTATGCAGGTGTGCCTGAACGTGTGCTTGGGGGCCAGAGGAGGGCACTATATTTTCCTCAATTACTGTCCACCTTATTCCTTTGAGGCGGGGTCTCTCCCTGATGCTGGATCTCTCAGTTTCTTACAAGGCTGGTAGTCAGGAAGCCCTTGAAATTCTCCTGTTTCCCCAACAGTGCTGGGGTTACAAGCGTGTGTGACACAAGGCTTGGCTAGTTTTGAGGGTGCTTGGCTCTGAAGTCAAGCCTTCATCATTGCACAAGTGCTCTTAATCATCGAGCCCTCTCAAGTGGGCAGATATTAATGAATAATCAAATGTGAAAACACTGTAGAGAGAAGGTAAAACTGTCCATTATCTCCCCATATTATCTTTCTCCTTAAATTGTACAAACTAGACTCAAATCTCTTCCCTTCTTATCTCCACACTGTAGCTCTCTCAGCTTCTCAGTGTGTCTCCTCTCAGGGAAAGACTTTTCCATAGCAAAGATCCACGTGAGGAAACTATGTAAAATTCTTAATTAAATTTTTCCCATTAAACTTTCCATTTTTTCTTAGAAGATAAGTAAGTGTTCAATTTTATATTCTTCTGATAATTATATGCTTTCACTCTTGACAATTAACCTCTCGATTCATCTGGAATCTATAATGGCATATGGTGTAAGGCAATGATCTAATTCAGTACTGACTAAGTGATGATCCATAACATATATTGAATTATTCAACTCTTTAAAACTGGCTTCAGGAGCTGGAGTGGTAGCTCGGTGGATGAGAGGGCAAACTGCTCTTACAGAGAACCTGAGCGTGTCTCCCACCACCCACATCGCACGGCTTGCCTGTAACCCCAGCTCCGGGATGCAATGTCCTCTTCTGGCCTCTGCAGGCACCTGTACTCACAGGCACATACATGCACAAATGTACATGATGGGAGATGTAATTCCGTAGATCTGTCTCTTATTGGTTGTTGAATAAAGCACTGTTGGCCAATAGGGAAGCAAGATAGGTGGGACTAGGAGTCAAGGAGGATTCTGGGAAAGAGAGGCAGAGTCAGACATGATGTAGCTGCAACAGGAGTAAGAGGTCCGGACCCTTTTCTCCGGTAAGAGAAATACTTAGATTAACAATTATGGGATAAATACTTAAGTCAGAGATAGCCAGTAAGAAACCAAGCAAACGACCAACAGCTTCATAATTTTGGGGGGGGGGAAATGGTATTTGCCTATATAAATATTAAAATAAAATACTTTTTTTTTTTGGTTTTTACGAGGCAGGGTTTCTCTGTATTGTTTTGGAGGCTATCGGTCCAGCCCGGCCTCGAACTCACAGAGATCCGCCTGCCTCTGCCTCCCGAGTGCTGGGATTAAAGGCCTGCGCCACCACCGCCCAGCAACAGCTTCATAATTAATATAGCCTCCTGTGTGTTGTTTGGGGGACTGCAACGCAGCAGAGCCCAGGCAACTGGCAAGAAAAAAAACTACATTCTACACATACACATAAATAAAAATAATGAAAATAAATCTTTAAAACTGGCTCAGAAGTTACACTCATCCTTTTATCATTTTTTCTGTGTGATATCGGCTTGACAACCTTTAAAAACTCCAAGAAAGTAATACCATCACGAATCCTTTTCTAAGCATGTCACAGGCAGAATGTATTTAAAACGCATCTGGCCCTAAATTGTATTACCAGAAGAACACGGATGACCCTCACACATAAATGGACAGGTATAAAAATATTATATAATTTGCTCAGATATTTCACAGAAGGAAGACCATGCCTGACAGCCAAGAAATGCTTGAAAGATAAAACCCTTCATGGGCAGTGGTGCAGGGACAATGGTTACCATCTTAGCTACTGCATCTTCTTTAAAACATGTTCTGGCACCACCTGTTAAAACTCTCTGCTGGTCTGTGGAAGTGAGTGCAAACTAGTTCAATCGATTCAAAGAGTAATTAGACATTACTTGATAAGGCTATTCATCCTTCATAATCCAGCAGCTCTATTTACGACTATTTTCCCTAGAGAAGTGTTTGCACACCTCTCAAGGAAATACATGTTAGGACGTTCTGCAGTACTGTTTATAGTACTGGAAAACTGGAAGCAACTTATGTGTTCATTAATTGGAGATCCAGAATATACATCTATTATATCGTGGTGTGTCGCATTTATTGCATTGCATTATATTGTACTGTATTAGTGAACTTCCGTTCACTGTGACAAAATACCTAAGACAATCTAATTTTCACAACGGGGAGTGGAGGCTGGAGATGCAGCAGTGTCTAAGAGCAGTGGCTGGTCTTCCAGAGGACTCAAGGTCAGTTCCCAGTACCCACTTGGCCAGCACTGACCTATGAGGAAGCATTAACATGCCATAGTGCAATGAAGAAGAAACTGTCCTCATGGCAGCTGGGAGGCAAAGAGAGAGAAGGAAATGGCATGAGCTCCAAGATCCCCTTCAAGGGCTCTAGAAAGATCTAACTTCCTCTCCTGTCTATTACAGGCCCCACAGTCTGCCAGTGGTGCCCCAGGCTGGCAGCCAGACTTTCAACATGGGGTCCTTTGGGAGGATGCTTTCAATATAAACTCCAGATGTAGGTTGAGAAAATGTTTTCTACCGAGTCAAAGAAATCATCAGACTCAGGGCCTTGGGGAGCTGCTGTTGACGATGAGTCACCAAAAATGACTGTATGGAGGTTGACTTTTCGTTTCCTAAAAAAAACTGGACATTAACAGAAAGTACATGCTATTTTCCCACTGGGCTCCAGGAAGAAAAAGTCAGTTTTGCCAAAAGATGTTAGAATTGTTATAAGGTAATAAGAATTGCATGGTTCACATTCCTTTTATGTCTGTGCTTTCAGAAGGCCGAGGGAATGCACAATTAGTTGGATTCTGAATCTTATTTTAGATCCTAATCCTAGAAAACCACCTTCTGATGGATTCTTTATGTTATTGCGTTTTCAT